GCCTAGTCATAAAAACAGAGACACAAGCAAAACCCACGAATTGAGTCAAGAAGATCCAGCGTTCAACATCCTAAACTGGAAACAATATATTAAAAATACATCTGCACCAGCCTAATAGATGACGAAGGGGTGCGAGGCTGGTCAACAGATAGAATCTGTTTACCCCTTAAGTCTTTGCCTAGGAGGCCTTCTACAAGAATTATAGTTTATGCTTTAACAAGAATTACAAGTTTATGCGAGACACACAAATAATGCCCTAGAATTAACATTTTTTATAAGTGATGAAACACCTTTGTATTAAACTGACATTGAAGCAGCTCCATCATAATACTGGCCTCTGCATATTCTTATATCTAAATCAAATTCTTTTAAAATTTCAAGAATGTTGGTAGCTATGTTTAAACCACTTGTTCCTGTTTTGCATTCAAAAAACGTAAAAAAAAACTTCCTTAATATAACTGTTCAAGTCAACATAATGTATGACAATTGAAAGTTGTTCTATTGTTGCACAGTCTGAAGCCTCGTGTGCAATAATGATTAAAATTTTTTTTTTCTTTTCTTCTATATGCTATTTCCTAGAAATATCTTGAAAAACTTCAATAGGAAAAGTGTTAATTTTAGTTCTAGATAAAAGCATATTATAACAATGTATGGATGATATGTAATCTGTCAACAGTTTTCTCATGATCGTTTAAATCTTTTATAGTATTACGTCAGGTATTGAATGATTTTTTAAACAATTTACACAATGCATATTTGTTTGGTACATTTGTACCAAAAAGTGTACATGGAAGACAATATGCACTATCTTCAATTTTAGAGTAAAATTTTAAAGTAAGCAAAGAAAAGTCAACTAATCATTTTAGCAAAAAATGTCTTTTTCTACTTTTACCCGTTAAAGGGAATTGGAAGCATTTATCTGGAACTTAGACTATTTATTAGAGATAACATTTCATTATCATTTGTTCCTGATTTTAACTTTTCACCACACAGATGATATGATGATTTTTTACCACACAGATGATATGATGAATTATCATAGTTGAAATAAGATGCTAACTGATGTGTATTTAATAAACAATGTCAAAAACATTGTTTTCCTTTAGTGGAACATTAGATTCAAGACTGTTTTTATCATCGTTGTTGGCATCTTTTGAGATAAATATTTTAGTTTTAACTGTTTTATAACAAATATCAGACTTATCTAAAGTGTTCTTAGAAAAATTAGGAAAGAATAATTTAGACTGAATTGGTTTTTGTATTTTGTTATCTGTAGGTGGAAAACTAGAGTTAAAAATTTATATTTTTTGATGCTGAGTAAATTTGAATCACTTATAACAACAGCTGGTCATTTTTTGGGAAGATATTTAACCAGTGCCACAAAATAATTTGGCTTAAAGCATAAAACACTTTTATTTTTTATTTTATCTAAATTGCACAACAAAATATTAATTGGACAATTTAATTTTTGGATGCAAGGCTTTATAAGGGGATTAAAAAAACTATGATTTACGATTATTTTTTGAAACCAATATCAACATAGATAGGTTCAATAGGTTGCTTTATAACATTATATAATGCTATTAGGCAAATGAAAGATGACATTCAGAAATCATATTATTGTTAACTGTTGAAAAACTATCAGTGTATTTAAACAAAACAGCAATAAAAAGCAAATTTAGAAAGCTGAGAATTCTATGTTGAAAAAAATAATCATACTATGTGTAAAAGTTTATGCTTTCAAATAATTCAATTGATGTCAGTAATCTTAGAATTTTTGAAGTACGTTTACTGTCATTTAAAATCAAAGATACTGAGCTATAAAGACAATTTACATTTTTAGTAGACCTGAGAGAAATAGTAAAATATATTCAAATTGAATAATAAGTAAAATATACTAAAGTGTAGTATTAATAACAAAACAAAAATAGATTAACTATTATTATTTTTTTTATTTTTTTTACTAATATAACATTTTAGTATATACCATAATTTCTTATTACAAAACTAAATCACTTTTATAGTTTATTTGTGTGTTTAATAATTCAATTTCATACACATTATCAAGAATATAAATCTGTAGTAAAATGTGTTAATAATTAGTTAAACACCAATAAATAAAGTTAAAATTCAACATAGATGTAGGTCCATTTTGTAATTATATTTTAATTAAATAAAACTTTTATAAAGCTTAAAACAAACAAAAAATACCTTAATGCTGTATAACCAAGAGTTCTTTTAGTTAAGGGTACAAAATCCATCATACCTTTGTTAAATTGGTAAGAATCCTGTATTCTTGGAAACATGAAATTTAATTCCGAAAGCTCTTTAATGAGTCTAGTTTTGTAATTTAAGACATTAGACTTATCATAGGCAAAAAGCATGTTTTGTTTCTATTGCACAAGCAACTAATTCTTCATTTAAATAAAGATTCATATTTTATATTTAAATAATCAAGTAATTAAATAATCAAGAAAAGTCACGTAATCTTAGTTTTCGATACTAATGATGATTTCACGGTAGCGAATAGAAAACCCTAATTTATTAGCTTCTATTTAACAGAATATTTTTCTAAATCGGACACGTTAAAAACAACTGTGTGGCCAAGTTTTATTTTCACGGTTGAGAGATCTATATTTTATTATTTATTTCAGAGCATTTATTGATAGAATTAAAACGTCGGTAACGTGTAATAGGAACCGTTGTGGCCATGGCAGGAATCTCT